GGGGAAAGAAGTGGCTGGCTAAAAAACATGAAGGGAACAACCTAACCGGAGGACTGAGGATTTAAGGGGGGGGCAATGGACCCCCTAACCTCAGGGGTCTGAGGCATCCTGGCCTTGACTCCTGTAACCACATTACATCTGTGCTGTGCTGTATCCTGGAGAAGCAATAAACCCCTCTCTATTCCACTGGCTGGCGGAGCCTGTTGCTGCTACGGGCTGCAGGATCAGGGGGACCCCGACGTGCCACCACAGCCAGTCACGTTCCTTGCTGTCTCCCTCCAGCAGCTGTACCACAGACTTGTGGTCATGCATAGTAAGTTCTAAACTGGCATTTATCATCATGACGCCCTAAAAGCTGCTGGTTGCTAAGAGTTACAGAAAGTGACATAAAAGGCTGAGTTAGAAGGGACAGTTATTTGGATAATTCACATGCAGCAGTAGTCCTTAAAAGTCACATTTGCCAGCACGCAGCTCTTATCCCACGTCCTCTAGTTCTATTAATGGGGCCAGTGGCGGCCTCCTCCATAAACGGCAGCTCTGTAGTTCCTGTTTCGTTTCAGGCTGTATCCTGTTTGGAAGGATCTGTGTTTGGTTTGTTTTTGTGGTGCCCAGACCGTGGCACTAGAAGCACATTGAGTGCTGGAACACACGCAGGGACGTCCATCCGCAAGAGGATGCTGGCCCTGCCTTGGTACTGCCAGACTTCCCTAAGAGTAGCTCCAGGGTAGCCATGAACATGGACGCCCATGTCTGGGGATGTGTCAGGACAGGAGTGACACAGGGTGACGACATTTCCCGCAGGTGTGAAAGGCGGGAGAGACCATGGGCAGCGTGATCGGCAAGAGGAGGCTAAACCTGCCCTGCTGATGACCTGCCGCTGGACACCTGGGGCACGGAGGCTCTGCCACTCCTCCCTCCCCAATGTCTCCCCTGTTGATTGCATCCCTTCTTCTCTCTGGGGCGGGGCGGGGCGGGGGGGGGGAGGGACACAGAGAGTCAGCAGGAGATGGCTTGGCCAGGCACTGCCTGCTGCTCCGGGAGTTGGTGGCTTGGTGGGTGGGGCGGCGCCTAGGTCCAGCTGGGGTTTGGGGGCTGGCAGCTCAGCCCAGCACTGGGGCCAGGCCGGTGACTCCGCTTGGTGTGGCTTGGGCAGGCAGGCCAGGACTCCTCTGGTCACAGGAAGGGGGAGGTTTCAGGGCTCTGGAGCGCAGAGGGCAGGGCCTTGGGCAGAAGCAATGGGGCTGGCAGGCTGGCCTCCCCAAAGTAGGGGGGCACCTGCTGCCCATGGAAGGGGCTGTTGTGATCATCTAGTCTGACCTCCTGCCTACCAGGGGGCTGAGAACTTCCCCATGTGGTTCTTGTATGTCTCTTAGGGTGTGTCTAGACTGCATCCCTCTATTGACAGAGGGATGCAAATCAAGCACATCGAAATTGCTAATGAAGCCGGAATTTAAATAGCCCATGCCTCATTAGCATAAACATGGCAGCTGCTTTTTTTGAAATGGCGTTTTAAAAAAACAAACAAACCTGGCAGTCTAGATGCAGTTCTGTCGAAACTAAAGCCTTTTTACACAGATCCTGTAAACCTCATTTTTTGAGGAATACAGTATCTGTCGAAAAAGGCTTTAGTTTCGACAGATCCACGTCTAGATTGCCGTTTTTTGAAAAAAATGGCAGTTTCGAAAAAAAGCAGTGGCCATGTTTCTGCTAATGAGGCGCGGGATATTTAAATCCAGGCTTCATTAGCAATTTCGACATGCTTGATTTGCATCCCTGTGTCAACAGAGGGACACATCCAGCCCTGGTGTAGACACTCAACACTGTGACTCTACCACATCCCCAGGGACGTTGTTTCTGCGCTTAATTTTCCATGCAGTGCTGCTTACAGTATCTTTTAAGTTTCCCAGTTTGCATTTGTCTTCAGCCTTCCGCCGCTGGCTCTTGTTCTGCCTGTGTCTGCTAGACTGATGTGCTTGGCTCTCAGAAACATCCCGAGGAAGTACTGAGTCTCTGTCTAATGGGGCGTCCTTCACCACCGTCTGCACTCTGCTGGCCATCCTGGGAACTCGCCCTGGTTTGATGGTGGCATCTCGCCACCATCACGCCTGTCATCAGGCTCTCAAGCCACCGTGTCCCTGTCTGGACTCCGCCCACTGACTGTGCCCCTCTTGGTTCTCTCCCCCTTTCGGGGCATTGGCAAACCATACTTGAGCCACTCCCCTTAGTGTCAAGTGGAGGCATAGAGGGGGAGGAGGACCTGGGTCCGCTTGCTACTCCAGGGCCCAGCCCAAGGACCCTCTGGAGGGCAGACAAGTGCTGTGTCATCTCCCAACCCCACTGTACAATTTCCTGGGCCACTTCCCACAGCCCTAGCACTTTTTCCGCCCTTGTATCGAGGCCTCAGGCTGGCAGCGGACAGCCAGGAGCTTGCTCCTGCTCCCCTGCCCAGGGATTGTCTCTTCTCCCACCTTCATGGCAGCCAATTCTCCCTCCTTGAACTCCAGGGAGCGACTCACACTGCTCTGTTCAGCAGCTCTTCTCCTATGGCTCCGCCTGACCCTGATCAGCTCCCTCTACCCTTCTCCCGATTGGCTGCCTCCTGCACAGTCTCAAGGGGGTTGTTTTAACCCCTCCTCTGCCAGCGTGGGGCCAGATGCCCACCACACACTGTAACCAGGTCACTTCTCAACCTTCTCTTTTTACAACTAAATAGATTCAGCTCCTTTTTTATCTCTCAGTAAGAAATATTTCCAGACCCTGAGTTCTGTGCAATATTAAGAAAGGTGTACGGTGTGTGCACAGCCATCTGTCAACAAGTCTTGCAATCTCTTTAGAGAATCCATTTCAGGATCATCTGATGGTGCCTCGTTTTCATAAAATCATGACAACTGATATTTAATTATTTCATCACCCTTTAATTCTTTGACTGAGTCTTCCATCAGCTGTTCCATAATTTTTCCTGAGATTAATGTAAAGCTAACTGATCTATGTCATCCCACTTGCCCTTTATCAGGGCTGATGTGATGTTGGCTTTTTTCCAGTCCCACTTTTGACAGCACAGTCTTTAATAGTAAGCACCGTGTGTGTGTGTTTGGCATATAGATCCCTCTTCCTCTCTGTCCTAGGGGCTCACACACAACTCTTCCTTCCATGCAGCCTGTCATGCGATCCAGCACCCAAAGGGCTCCTCTTCTTGGAGTGCTGATGCCCCATGTGTTCCTGCCTGCCCGATGTGTGGAGCTGGAGAGTTCTTGCAAGCAGTCCTTGCTCTGCATCTGTGCCCTCCTTTTCCTTGTGCCTCCAGCTGAGGAGAGGAAGGGTGAAATGGCCCATCCCCTCTGCAGTTCTACCACGCAAGGCTAAAGTCAAAACCACCAGTGCTTGGAGCTCCGTCTCCTTTCTTCCCTCCCTGCATTGCCACCTCCGCCTCCAGGTACCGGACTATGCCCAGGACTCCGGGTTTCTTGCCCATGCTCCTTCTCTGCCTGCAGCCACCATCAGCTGCCTGTAGTGCCTCAGGGAAGGTGCAGTGTCCCATGAGGGTGAGGAACTTGCCGAGAGGCACCTGATAGAGAAGGTTGAGACCACAGTCGTCCCCTCGTGCAGTGTCCCATGAGGGTGAGGAACTTGCCGAGAGGCACCTGATGGAGAAGGTTGAGACCACAGTCACACCCTTGCCAGGGGACCTCCCATACACATCAGACTTATTCAGGAAGGAGTGTGCCTGTGAGCTCCAGCTTAGGCACATGGGAATCTGCTCCCACAGATCCCCAGAGGGGTCTTGTCGAGAGGGCAGGGAGCGTCCTCAGACACAAGAGCAAACCTTCCTCTAAGGTCCCATCAGAGATGCCTGATCCACTCTCCCTCAGTTGCGCAAGGCTTTCTGCTCAGTCCACCAGGAATTAAAACCGCCTAAGTCTCAGGGGCACATTAGGAAGCCCACAAATCCGTGCTCTGAAGATACGTGTGTCGCACGTACCGGCCAGACCCAAACTCTGGGACTGGCTGGCATGCCCAAACGGCACCATCGAGAGCCTCCACCACCACGGTGCCACCTCTGCCCCGGCCGACTGCGGCACGCACAGTGACGGCTCCGGTTCAGTCACGCCAGGCGGACAGGACCCCTCGTGCGTAAGGGAGAGCAGTGTCTGATGATTCGCCCGATGAAATGTTTTGCTCCCCGGGAGTCCCTACCTCCATTGCCATCAGGTCATTCCCTCAGGGGAGGTCCAGACACCACCAGAAGAGGCAACTTATCTGAGAGCTGCCTCCCCCTCTGCGCTCTGACCGCAGCTTCCTTCAGCGGGACTGTCCTCCTCTGAGGCATGGCTTCCCAGACAGGAGACATGGGCCAGGCTGGCCCAGCTCCATGCTGGTACCTGCCCAGGATCCACCGATAACCCATGGCAGGGGCTCCTCTACAGCCATCCTGTGACCTGTCTTGCTGGCCACGCTGAGGGCGGGCAGCCATGCTATCCTGCAGAGTCAGCACAATCTTCCAGTAGCCAATTCACCTCTCCTCTCTGAAGGAACATCCTCCGGGCTGCGGGGCGAGGAGGATTGTGAGGCAGATCGGGTGGTTCCGCTGGTACCAAGAGACTGTCCTTATCTCCAGCTGAAACAGCAGCTCCAATGTCTTCATCCCTCCCAATAATCATAAGCCGTTCCAGGGCCTGTGACGCAGGGCTGCAAGGAGACAGACACTCACACATTCTTCTTGCTGACTGCATGCTGTTTATGATCTAATCTGTGAGGTCACTCATTGCTGGGAACCTGTCCAGCCACAGATCAGCCCTTGCTGTGCCTGAGTTAAGGGATGCTCTGAGAATGTTCTGAGTTGTACCCCCAGAGAAGTCAGGAGCTGAAGCATCCAAGTCAATTCATGGGCTTCCTGAAGTAGCTTGGCACCAGGATGCCAGTTGTCGAGAGAGGGGAAGATGCTGAAGCCAGACTCCTGACATGGGCTGTATTACAGCGAAGAGCGTGGTAAATACCCTGGGGTGGTAGAAAGGCCAGACTCGGCATGGTCTTTCAAACGGGCATCTCTGCAGCTGTGCGAAGCGTCCTTACCGCTAGTAGGGAATATTCCACTAGGAAATGCTAGCTAGTCCAGCGGAGCCGTTCTCTGTCTGGGCATGCCGAAAGCTTTCCAACCTGGGAGCGGTGGGCATTTCCCTTATTCAGGATTCCTGTCCGTCCCTCGAAGCAGCAGGACTTCCCACCCCTTCCTTAGGACGAGTGTCTGAGGCCAAAGCAAATCTCCTGGGCACGGCTGGCTCCTTCCTGCATCACTCAGCCAGCTCTGCAGGACAGGTGGCTTCTCTTTACTTGGCTGCCTCAGCCTGGGCTTGCTCGTCCAGTGCCTTAGGATCGCTTGCTGGGAGGGGGCAGCCCCGGCTTCTTTCAAGCCCTGCAGCAGCCCCTTTAGCATTCCCAAGCCCTCGAGCATTCGCGGCCGCAGCATGGTGCGGAGGAGCCGTGTGCGGGCAGTTCCCTTGCTGCCTGGCAGTGAGCACTCTGTGGGCTCAGACACCCCCCAAGCCTCGCCAAGGGCTGCTCTTGCTTGCTCTGAACTGCTGTGTCTTGCAGGGTGCGTCTTCCCCCTGGAGCTCCCAGTGTTGATGGAAGAGCACTTGGGGATGTGAACAAATGGTTAAAGTAGGTGTGAAAGATCCTAGAGGTTACACACGCTGTGGGCTGTGCGGTTCAGGCGTTACACTGCTGGGCCTGCGGGGCGGGGAGACAGACAGCTCCCCAGGGGCAGGCCGGCTGCTGGAAGCCGGTGTGTGCCAGTGAAGAGTGTAACCCTAACAGGCTTACACCCTTACGTCCCTACGTGGTACTGTGTTGTCCTAGCGCCCGCCAGCGACCCGCACCAGGCTTCCTTATGCGTCGTTCTACAGGCGTATCCGCCCCTGGCCAGGCGAGAGAGGAAGTGTTCCCAGCTCACCCGAGGTTACGAAAGGAGATTCCAGGGCACTGCAATCTGAGAGACAAAACCCTTGTCCTACGGGGCCCAAGCAGCTTGGAAGCCATGTGACCCGGTGCCGACAGTCAAAAGTCACGTGCTGCTAGCTGCATCGCCCACAGGCAGAAAACTACACACCGCAGCAGGGTGATTTTTGCTCTTATTTTGCAATTTCTTAAGCTAAGTGGGAGACTATTTCTGTAACAATCAGTAACCCATGAAACTGGGGTTAAAGCAACTGGCAATTGCTCTAGCCTTCATATTGAGTCATTGTAACACAATTGTGCTAATATGTATGTATCCTTGGGTAATAACAAGTCAACTCCAAACAGAGTATAAATAGAACCAGCAGAATCCAAAGAGTGTAAATATGTCATGCTCTGTCAGCCTTGGTAAAAGCAGGCTGCAATTTCAGTCTCTGAAGCAGAAGAAAAAGATACACAAAGAAGGTGGAATTATTATTTCAGCTTTCCCCAAGGCCACTGAAGTCCATGCAATAATGGGCTTTCTTGGCAAACTTTTAAGCATTTAGAAGCCTGAAGATGCAGCGGGGTGATGGGTGGGATCTACATTGATCTCAATGGAAGCGAGGTGTCTGCATTTGACAGTCCGGCTCGCTGCTTCCCTGCAGCTCTAAGCGCCTAAATCCCTTGGGCAATCTGGCCCATAGCATGCGCTGTGATACGTACTTCAGACAAGTCCTACTCCTGAGCAGCGCACAGTCTTGGGAATGTATTCTGCAAACGTTTAGTCACGGCTGCCTTGTTACTACCACAGAGGCCTTGTCTGCTCCCTGGGCCTCAGCCTAGGAGTATCTGTAAGCATGGCAATTTGGGCAGGATTGCGCCCTGCGTTCGGACACAGCTTGTCGCCCGCTGGGGGCCTGTCCCAGAGCGACCGGAGGCAGGAGCGGGTTAGGTTTGTTCCCTACGCAGCTTCATGGTTCTGGTTTGGTTTTATTTTATTCTCCCAAATATGGAGCCCAAGTACAGATCAACAGGGCAACCCTCCAACCATGTGATGAGGTCAGACCTGGGGAGAGGGGCCCAAAGTACAAGAATGGATTTAAAATCTATCCAAAGACTAAATTAAAACCGTTTGTCAGCTGGGCCGTCTTTTATCGGGGAAATAAATCAAACGGCTGCAGGCTGCTCTGTAAATCCACGGCCTGAACAGCTTAATTAGGGAGGTAATGGTGCTGACTTGGGCCCTCTAACGCAGCACTTAACTCTCTTCTCCATTTAGGTCTCTGTCTCTTATTAGCATTCCCCCAATTAAGCTGAGTTTAAATAGTCAACCACACTTAAGGCAGCGAGATTTATTCCCTGGCGATGATCTGATTTTGCTGACAAAACATCAGCGGGGAAGAATTTTTAATTGAGTATTTTTATGCAATCTCATCTGTCTTCATGATGGGAAATTTTTTGAGTTTGATTTGGATTTTTTGTTTTAATATCGGGAAAAGTTGTGGAGAAATCCTTGAAACTTTTATCTCAAGGATAAAGCACAAAAGGATAATGGTAGTATGTGAACATCAATGCCAGAAATGTAATAGAAATTAGAGATGATAAAAGATAAAACCTAGGGGAGGCTAATTCTTCTCTACTGGAACTCTTTCCACTTGCTACAATGGACACAGGACTAGATATTATTCATATAAAATGATGGGGAATAATTTAGCTATAACTACTCGAGAGAGATCTTGGAGTCTTTGTGGATAGTTCTCTGAGAACATCCACTCAGTGTGCAGTGGCAGTCCTAAAAGCAAACAGAATGTTGGGAATCATTAAAAAGGGATAGAGAATAAGACCGAGAATATCTTATTTCCTCTCTATACATCCATGGTACGCCCACATCTTGAATACTGCGTACAGATGTGGTTACCTCATCTAAGAAAAGGGCAACAAAAATTGTGAGGGCTTTGGAAGAGAGATTTAAAAGACTGGGACTTTTCAGCTTAGAAAAGAGGAGACTAAGGGGGGATATGATCGAGGTCTATAAAATCATGACTGGTGTGGAAAAAGTGAATAAGGAAAAGTTATTTACTTGTTCTCATCACATAAGAACTAGGGGTCACCAAATGAAATTAATAGGCAGAAGGTTTAAAACAAACAAAAGGAAGTTTTTCTTCATGCAGGACACAGTCAACCTGTGGAACTCCTTGCCAGAGGATGTTGTGAAGACCAGGACTTTAACAGGGTTCAAAAAAGAATTAGGTAAGTTCATGGAAGTTAGGTTCATCAATGGCTATTAGCCAGGATGGGCAGGAATGGTGTCCCTAACCTCTGTCAACAAAACTATACCTGCCTATACACTACTGCCGAGTTGTCGACAGAACTCGGCAGTTTTGTCGACGGCGGTAAACCTCATTCTATGAGGAATAACGCCTTTTGTCGACAGAGTTCTATCGACAGACGGTGTTGTTGCCTCTACACTGTCCTTTCCGTCGACAGAGCGGCTTGCTTTGTCGACAGAACTGGATGCAGTCTCCAATGGTCCCCAACGTGGTGCCCATGGGCGCCATGGTGCTCACCGGGGCATTTATGTGTGCCCACCGAATGATCTGGGCCAGCCCCGCCCCCGGCGCGCGACACATGCATGGTGCCGGCCCCGGCGCATGGCATATGAGCAGCCCCTTTCAAGCAGAACTTTTCCGAGATCAGGCGCGATGTTTTTGTCTGTGTCGAATCCTGGAAATAACAGACCCCATTGACTGGAGATTTAAGCTGTTTTTCCTGGTTGCTGCTGGCTGTAGTTATGATTGTTCTCTTTTCATAGCTTCAAGTGGCATTGCACAGTTTGTGTTGCTTTGCCTGTGCCCGGTCTGCTGGAGAAGGTTGTTTCACCTCGAGTTGCCGATTTACATTTTTCAAAGTCTTTCAGTGGAAAGGGGGGAGATTTCGTTCCTTTCCTTCGTCTCTCTGCTGCAGCACAGTCAACGCTGTGTTGCCTTCCTGGTTGCCACAGTGACTTATTTTTCTGTGGAGTAGGGGGAAGAGCCGTTGTTGCCCTGCCTGGGGAATCAGCCGTCCTCAAGGGGGCAGCATTTTCCTTCTCTGCCGACAAAGGGCAAGGCGACTTTTGCAGATGTGGGTCAGCGGGCTTGTCTGCAGAATTGGTTTGGATGATAAAGACGTTTTTTCCTGAGGAAAAGTAAAAAGTTTGTCTTGCTCTCTTGGCAAAGGCATTGGCTTGTTGGCGAGTGACCTGTTGTGACATTGTTTGGAGGCTGCAGCGCTGACAACTGTCCACATGGGCTGTAGTGTACATTGCTGTGCATCTTTCCATGGGAGTGGGTCTCGGAGACACACCAGAGCCTATTCAGGAGTGTGTGCGGATACCCCGGGCATCGTGGATTGACAGGCTCTCCCCACAGGAGTCCCAGCCCAGCGGCATGACGGCTGGACGCATGCTCCTTTTGTTGCTTGTAATTGGTGCCAAACCTTTGAACTCCTTTTTCAAAATGAACCTGAGTTGATCCATTCTGCCCAGGGCTGATTTCCTTCTGCGACGCACAGCACCTCTTCTCTTCGCAGGGTTGTTGAGGGCACCTTGGGCTGAAAAGGTTTGAAATGAGTCCATGTTTTCATTATGAAAAACAGCCATCAGACATTCATAGGGGTAGTTGTCGTCAGCATCAAGCGTTTTGTATTCTATCCGGAAACGTTGCACCTTGCTCAGAGGCAAAGTGCGGTGTGAGTTCGTTGGGTGGTGTCACTTGGCCGGTGGGCGACAGTTCGTAAGGAACCTGGGAGGGTGTGTAATGCAGGGTGCTGGGGCACCCTGCTGAGAGAGAGGTGTCACCAGCCTGGGTTAATTGTGCTGAAGCACATTTCCTTAACCTCTTCCAGTGACTGACTCACTCATGTTTTAGCAGAGCGAGGCCGTGTCTACACTAGGATACTATTTCAAAATAACGAATATCGATTTCATAACTCCCAAAATAACAGAATCGAACTAGTGTGTCCTCACTACGGGGGAGTCTCGAAATGAGTCTGAGATAGGCTCCCTTAATGTGGGCGTGCTGCCTCAGAGAAATGAGTCTGAGATAGGCTCCCTTAATGTGGACGTGCTGCCTCAGGCTGAGAGCCCCAGGAATCCCTGGGGGGTAATTACTTTGAAGTAGGAATAAGATCCTCCAGAAAAGGGCACTTTTTCCGGAGGATCGGGGCCAGTGTAGACGCTCTTTTCCGGCTTTTCTAAAAGCCGGAAAAAAAGCGGCGGACATTTTTATTTAAATGCCGCGGGGGATATTTAAATCCCCCGCGCATTTCCCTATTGCGATTTCAAAAATTACCATGCCCCTTCCGGAAAAGGGGCCAATGTAGACAAGCCCCTAGTGTAGACCAGGGCTGAGTGTGTGTGCACAGTCGTGTGTCTGAAGGAAGGAGCCCTGCTGGCCAGTGTTGGGAGAATATGAATGGCTCTCGACTGTATCCAGGGTGGTAAGTAAAACCAGAGGGGCGAGTCATGCTGAGATTCGTGCCTGAGGGAATGTTGAGTGTACCTGGATTACAGCTGATGAGCAAGTCCTGTCATTCCAAATCAGCGTCTGCTCTGGGAGTCGAGCTGTGAGGCAGAAGGTGACTAACATTGCACACAGAGCTGCTGCAGAAAACAAACACGCCACCTGTTTGTGTAGGGCACTCTAACGCCGTTCCAGATTGCTGTCCCGTGAGGGCCAGACTTAGCAAGCTTAGCTAATCTGCTGGCCATCCTAACAGGCAGGACAGAACCACATCCAAATGTAATGCCAGTGCCCCAGAAAACCCTTTGCTACTGGTTACCTGGTGGGGTTCTGCAGAGGTCTCCACCTTCTCAGACACCTCCTCCTTCCCTGATTCGAGCAAAGGCATGATGTCCCACTCACCACAGTACTGCTAGAACAACTCTCGGTACAGTCTGAGAGCGCGACAGTGTTCTCCCACAGCCTCCCAAACGTCTGGAGCAGCTGGAGGTGAGCCAAGTCGGCACAGCCCTATGGCACTCACTTGACACTGTGTGTTTGGGTTCTATTTTGAGACTTCTGGAGTTTTGTATCCTGAGGTCAGTAGAATTTTCTCTGTCCCTAAGTGCTTCTCTCAGGCTTTTCCTGTCCTCTGCTGGCTGATTGCCTGGTGTTTTTCCTCTTCTATCCTCAAACAGTG